TCCAGACGCTTAGGTAGCCCTAGCTCGAGTGTTGTAGATGCAGAGAATGACTGCATGACGTAGACAATCCACGTCGTGAGCACCAACACACTGGTCACCTTGCCTGAAGGAGGATGCGACCATTTATTCACCTACAAGTAGCCACACAACATGCACTCACTGGGGTGCAAAAACTGGGGGTGGGGGCGAGGGGAGGCTGGCCTGGGGGGGGGGGTTGGGGGACAAAACTGGGGATGTACTGGCCTTTGGAACTGGGGGGGCTTCACGATGATCGGGGGGTGCTGCACCGCAACTCAACAACCGGGATCCCTGGGGAAAACCTCTCTTTTTTTTGGTCCCTTTGTGTTTGTTTTTATGGCTTTTCACTCAATCCTTTTTTGTTCTTGTTGGTTTTTTGTTGGTTTATTTATCCGACTGCGCCTGATGCACAACAATCAAGTTCTCTGTAGTGTTTTTCTCTGAAACATCTTACAAAAATCTCTGAGAGTATACGCTGTTCATAACTCAATAGCGGGGGCGGTTCTACCCCTGTCTGTCATCACAGGTTCCCACAGCTCATACCTCTCTCTCCTTACGCCTCTCGTTCTCAACCATTTTATTGAGGGTGATATGCTAACTTTACTACTGGAAGTTGTGTGAGAAACAGAGGCCTGGAAACAACACGTTATATTACTGGGTTAGCATGTTTCAGCCAAATAGTTCGATCCCAGAGCATCCTCCCTCTCCCTCAACGTCTACTTCCTTTCTTCCCCCTCCTTTTGTTTCATCCTTGTTCCCTTCTAACTCCCGGGGGTGTGCACCCTGTACCCCCCCTCTCCCCCCCATTCCTTTCCCTTTTCTCTTTCCTCTCCCTGAAAAAACTGATAGGATAGACGTAATAACTATAGAAGGAGAAGCAACACAACATAACGACCCTGGACGGAAAAGGGGGAATCGGCGTTCCAACAGCCCAGGTTAGGGGTGATGCCATCTTCAGTCCTACAGTCAACCTCCACCTCAGCAGTGGTCAAAAGAGAGACCAAGAAGTCAGTCTTGTCCTTCTTGACAGAGTCTGTCCATACTAGTATGGAGAGGTGTGCCACCCTGGGAGGATAAGAAACAATGTGGCGAGAAAATGTAGGAAGTGAAAGAAAGCAAAGTTTACCATCTTTGCAGTAGGATGTGCTGATGCACAAGGCGCAATGGGGCAATGTGACGTATTGTTAACCCAGCCAAAGGAAAATGCAGGAAAATGACCAAAATTAGCTAAGTCCAGCTATTCTTCATCACGAAAAAGAACTCCTCACTCTACACAAATTTCTATCTGGCTCACTCTTATTTCTGATGGAAGACCATCTACACCCTCTTGAATAGCAGCCTTGACAGTCTGGAAGAAAAGGAGGAGAGAGGAAAGCATGTGGTAGTGCTATGTTTACAAGCTACACCTTCTTCTGAGCTACAACTATCCTACCTGAACGTCAACAAAAGAATGTCGCTTGAAGGTCTTGTGGAGCTCAAGTGAAGGACTCCCTTTCTTCCTTACCACTGGAGAGACTCGCGAAGGCTGGTGGAAAGAGAAATCGGACGTTTCGAGGTCGACCGAGCGACGAGAAGACGCGGCAGCGTTGTCTTTTCGTCTCCCTTTCCTTTTCAGTGAATTCAACAGCCACGTTTTCAGCGTAGGCTTGCGATCTGTCTTTCCGGCGCTGCGGTCCTTTTCCGTCCGAGTCTAAACCCACTGGTTTGCGTTTCGGCGAGGATCGGGGAGAGGTTCCCTCGTCTGCTGCTGTGTTTGTGGAGCTTTGAGGAGTAGCAACACTCTCCTTGCTAGCTGCAGATTCTTTCCCTTGAGGCTCTAAGCCGTCTCGCCCAGTGGCTGCCGTATCATCATCGGCCATTTCTGTTTTGAGCCACGCCCCCACATAATATCCCGCCCCCCTTCTTGTATCGCCTGCTACACCCACCCTAATGGCTTCAAATCTTCTCGCTCGGTTGACTGGGTCCTCTACCAAGTACGAGCCATTGCCAAGAATATGTCCCCTCTCAGGACGTGTAGGTAGCAAAGTGGTAGTGCAGGGAGGACGGACAAAGGATTTCTCAGACAAGAGCAGGCAACAGTTGAGCTCCGTCGTAGAGATCTTCGACCCCTACTCTGAGTTGTGGGAGCAAAGACAAGTCGAAGGAGACGCTCCGTCGCCTGGAACGTATGCTGCAGCCAGTGCATCACTCTGTGACGACCTTTTCTCGTTTGGGGGGTTTGATGGCAGACAACACTTCAACACTCTCCACAGACTGGACTCTAAGACGTGGTGCTGGAGTCAAGTGTCTCCTCAGAATGCAGACGGAGCTCCTATGCCTAAGAGTTCCTGTGCAATGATAGCATTTAGAAACAGTTTGGTAGTGCTTGGTGGATATGGAGTACCCCGAGGACCTACAGAACCTCAATCATTTATCCAGAGTACCACATTCACTGATGATGAGGGTGGACTAATGAGCTTCATATCTACAATCTCTCAGAAGGTATGAAGTATAATTATGCTCTGCCCGGTTTACGTAATGAGTTTAGAAGTAAGCAGTCTACGTTGAGTACGGGTGCTACACATGCAGCTGTACTTAGTAATGTAGCTTTCATTAAAATTTAGCACAAGTAAAATCATTTGTGCGTCTATTTGATTTATGCAAGACACATTAGTTTGAGCATTGTTGATCAATATTTGCTAAATGGTCTCCTCTATCTTCACTGCAGGTGTGTGGAGCTGTCCTGCCACCACTGGAGAGAGACCTCCTCCATTTACTGGCCACAACTTCACTGCAGTAGATGACAGGAGGGCAGTCGTGTTTGGAGGAAAAAATGGAGAGCAGGGCAGAATGAATGATGTCTACATCATTGACCTCTCCACTATGGTATTTAAACGACATGTTCGGACCATGCAAATTAAAAATTTGAAAATGTGTCTTTTTATTTCGGAATGTCCTTTACAAAAGTACATCGCCACACTCCCTCAGTGGGTGCTGCGTAGTGGCAGCACAATAGTCCTTTTCATCTAAGCAGCAATTAATTTTAACGTCACGTCACATCCGGAGTATAGTTCGTGCGTTGCGCCGGGGTATAATGTATGGCCGCAATAGCGCATGGTTTTGGACAACGCGCATGTGCCTCCTGAGCTCAATCAACGGTACATACCTGTATGAAATTTCAACATCTGCTCTCTGTCTTGCACTTTGTCCGGACACCGTCGCCCTTTCAGCGAGAAGATACAGGCGCGTGAAGTTGGCAACTGGACCGCTGCCATACATTATACCCCGGCGCAACGCACGAAATGTACTCCGGATGTGACGTCAAAAGCAATTATGTCGTCACGATGACGCGTGTACATTCCATCATCTTAGACTAGCACAAAGTGACGGTAGTACTGTTTGGTCTCACGTTTTCTGCTGCTACACAAAAGAAATGCATGTGCACCAGTACCATTGCCACTGCTTGTTTCTCTGACTGGCAGCAGAGTCCAACTTTTTGACCGACCCTGCTACACACCTCACTTTTTTAGGGTGTGAAATTTTGGGGGTGATTCCACTGTCTATGTAAATGGTGTGTATTATTCCAGAAATGGAGCAAACTCAACAAGTCAGGAGGTGGACCTTGGCCAGAGGAGAGGTCCGGTCATGCAGCTTGTTGTCTCAACTATGGCCAGCAGTTCCCTCAACTACTGGTGACTGGGGGAATGGACAGCCGGAGCCAGCCACTAGAAGATGTCTGGATTCTTGATATAGACAGAGGGAAATGGAGAAAGGTAAGACAAGCCTAACTTATCCCATATTATTATACACATGACTGTTGACATTCTCTCACAACATGCGTGTCTAGGAGAGGCCTACTCTGAAGGCTCGCTGGGCTCACTCTCTCACTGCCTTCAGTCTGGCTCCAGGACTGACAGAGGTTGTGGAGTTTGGAGGGACTTCCACGTCATACACTGGATCTGAAAACACTCTACCTGAAATAGCAGACACAACTCTGCTCCAGTTCAGTGAGGATAAACACACCCTAAACAGCTCAG